AAATATACAGGGTGGTCCGAACTGTATTCCGGAAACTTCGGCAGCATATTCTGTAGATAAAAATAAGTAAAAAAGTTCGTATAAATGTATGTCCTAAAATGCTTAGTTTCGGAGATACAGGGTGTAGAAGTTTCATTTTTATTTCCAAATAATTTCTGAAGTAACGTCAATATTTGGATGAAAATTGGTGTCTGAGAGTTTTTTGACATGAGAAATTCGAGTTTGATGTCAATTTGACTCCTACTAGTAGATGGCGCCACCTACACATTTTTAACTGGTTTGAAGACTAATAACATTTCGTCCGTACCTGTATAAAACTACTGAGTAAAAAAATATACATTTACGACGTTTTCTACGTGAAAAAGGTCTCTTGGTAAAAATCGCTGCGAATAATGGTTTTCGAGATATTTGGAATCGCAATTATCAATACCTCTCTTCATTAACATACATTAAACATGTTGACTAAATAGTTATTAGATTGAAATCATAAAACTGAAATGTTTTTGTGCTAAAAGTTCAGCAGAAACTGTTTTATCGTCATTTTTGCAGAAAAATTTATAACTAATTTAAAAAAAATGTCCTAAATTTATTATTTCAGTGAAATAACTATCTACTAAACGCGGAAGGTGTTTATTTTTCGTCAATAATGTCATGTATTGACTATTTTCATTCTAAATATCTTGAGAACGGTTGCTCGTAGCGATTTTTACAAAAAGATATTTTTTACGTAAAAAGTTACAGAGATGTATATTTTTTTGCTTGGTAGTTTTACACAGGTGCGGACAAAAAGTTATTATGCTTCAAAACAGTCAAAACACATGTAGGTGGCGCCCTCTACTAGTAGGGGTCATATAGACATCAAAATCAAATTTCCCATGTCAAAAAACTCCCAGACACCAATTTTCTTCCAAATATTGATGTTACTTCAGAAATTATTTAGAAAAATTGGAAATAAAAATGAAACTTCTACACCCTGTATCTCTGAAACTAAGCATTTTAGGACATACATTTATACGAACTTTTTTACTTATTTTTATCTGCAGAATATGCTTCCGAAGTTTCCGGAATACAATTCGGACCACCCTCTATTTGCAAGAACTGCCATCGGTATATTTACTTTAGTGACCGAAAACAATTGAATACGTGAAGCAATCCCAATTTATGTCATATACTAACATACCAAATCTCGTTGTTTTATGTGAAAAAATAAAAAAGTTATAGGGGTGAGCCACTTTTGAGACGCACCCGGTATAAAATAATTTTTCTTGTTTTTTTTTTAATTAAACACCCTTTGATTTGTTTATAATTCATGGAGAATTCAAAAATGAACATTTTTTGTATTTAGAGTTAGTAGGTATTTCAAATTTTTTAACGGTTTCGCAAATATTCGCTGTTTTATATTTAATATGGCATTTTTCACAGTAAATTTTGAAATATGAAATAACACCGCGAGTATCTGAGAAAATTTTGACATATTCTAAATACAAAAAAGTTCATTTTTAGGTCATCATCTAATAAAAAATAACATAGAGGGTGTTCTATTTAAGAAAGCGAAGAAAAATTATTTTATATTTTAGTTTGGCATAGAATTCTGAACACCTTGTATGATTTACGATTACCATATTTATAGCAAAAGTAAGTACAGACCATCTAAAGTAAATACCTAATATAGTTTTGATTTCAGGACAGTTCTTGCATTTTTAATATTTTTTTTAGAAAGGCTGAAAAATATGTATTTTTTATTTATTTATTAATATCTCTGAAACTACCGAAATATGTTTTCCAAAATGCAATAATATACAGGGTGATCCATTTAAAAAAAATCATCCCGATCCACTCACACATTTTTCAGCTACCCTGTAGAAGTTAAAATATTTTCCAGAAATACATCCTAGTACATACTTTAGGTTTGCATTTAAACAAAATTCCCAAGTTTTTTATTCTAGAAGCTACAGAAGCCCGATGTACTATTGCCGGACCCTGTATAACGTTTTTATTTTTTTTTCAGATAAAAAATAGTATATTGACTTATTAGGAGTAAAAATTACATTTTTTGTAGCGAGACTGTACATTTTACATACAGCCGAGGCACAAAAAGTCAATTTTTCTCCAAACAACATACAATTTTTTTTTCAAACGCCACAAATAATTTTCAATTTCAAACGTTCCAAATAATATAAAAAGATTTAAAAGTCATACCTTGCATGCAACTATATATCGAGAAACTATGGTTACGGCTTGTTGAATTTGACACTTTATGTCAGTTTAATAATATATTTTCGTACTTTTATGCTTAGGCGTAAAAGTGCTTTACTTTTATGCCTAGGCCTTCAATGACTTTGCTATAATGTCAGTCACGTCGCAAAAATTAATATTTTTGTGACGTTTGAAAAAAACATACTTGGCATGTTAGTATGTAGTTATGACATAAATCAGGATTGGCGTATTCAATTAGTTTCAGTCACTTCCTGTTTTACCGGAAATGATTACAACTTTTGATTTTTAGATGGTACTTTCGATATTTTTTACTTTATTTAACGGAAAATGATATTCTGAATAAAGTGACATATCATATGTTTTGACAATTGTGCTTAAAAAATTGTATTTTAGATTTCAATCGAGAGTGCCATGGCTGTGTTAAAACCCCTATTTTTTTGTCAAATTGGTAGCAATTCCATTTTTTTGTAATAGCTGAAAACACTTTTTTTGGCCGACTCTTGTGTTAGTGGCATTCTTACGTTAGAAAGTTCTGTTATTGGATAAATCACGCTTAAAATTTTGTGAAACAAAACCGCTGCCTGTAATCGCCTACGTGCTTCCAGGGACAGCCACCTAGTAAAAAAGATAAAATTGGAATAATAAACATTGGAAAGTTTTACTACGATTGGTCTAACTTTGTCTTTATTATATTTACCAGAGCGATAACAATGCTCAATTTCCAATGTATTAACATCATGTAATAATCTAATGATGCATCATATAATAATATAATAGAGCTTGATGGTGTCTCTGTATCCAGACAAGGATGTTCAATAAGTATTTCTTAAATGTTGGTGACGCGATTGACCCCTACTATCTTCTAGCATACACACCTACACAAAATATCTGAATAAAATTTCGTGTGGGTAATTACCTCACAAGTACCTCACGCGAGTCCTGGAGGGTTAAATATAGAATTTTTTTTAATTTGTAAATAATAATACCTCTTTCTATTAAAAGCATTTCGTTTTTAAACCAAGTTAGTTTTGTAAGATATGTAGCTGTAAGTGAAACAAAAGACTAAAACTATCGTAAAATTTGTCGTAATATGGAACAAAACATGTTTGAGAAAGAAATAAAATTCAGCACTAGCCAAGAAAGCATTAAATCCACTGACTTGTGTACGTTTTACGTCGTTTAGTTTCTGGCTCATCTCTTCCATGAAATGCAATTTTAAGTAATAAAATAGATATTTGCCAAATCAATAATGTTCATCGGATAAAATGTTTTGACTGTATATAGGGTGTCCTAGAAATAAGTGCAAATATTTTAACTGGTAGTATATGAGGTTTCTTTCACGAAAATTTTTTTTTGGAAAATCGAAATTTTTTGAAAAAATTTTTGGATTTTTTTTAGTTTTTAGTTAAAAAACATAATTTCATGATAATATGGCAACATAGGTATTAGATTAAATTTACAGGAATGAAAATCCAGAAAAGATCCAGTGCTTCTCAAAATTTTAGCAAAAAATCATTTTTTTTGGAAATTTTCAAAGTAAAATAACTCCGTTATTTTGGACTTATTTGAAAAACGATAAAGAGAAAATATGTTTCTTTTATCGAGATCTACCACCTCTTAAAATATTTGCACTTATTTCTGGAACACCCTGTATACAGAGTTTTTTACGCAAACCGTTCATTAAGTATTTTTTAGTGATGTAATTTCCATACCAATCTGAATATTTTATGCCTAGGATGTTTCGGTTTAACGTTTAAGGCCAGTTTGCTTATTTTAAATAGAACCACCCGTATGGTTAGATAAAGTTCTAAAAACATTTTTTTATACAGGGTGTCAAAAAATGGTGTATATAACTTCGGTATGTGATTCTACAGATAAAATTAAAACAAAAAGTTCCTTTAAGCATATGCCTTAATATGCTACCCGAGGAAGTTACAGCTTTCGAAAGAGTAGTAAAAAATTAATAATTACAGTAATTTCAACAAATGACATAAAAGCTAGGACTTTTTAAAGTAAAAAAGGTGCTCTTAGTTTAGTTTGAAACGGTGAACGATTTTCAAGATATTTGTATTTTATGGTTACGATGCATTGATTTTAGTATTTTTGCTAGCTCTAAGAAAAGGTGTCATAGTGTTTGAGATACCTGTCCTTTGTTTGATTTTTGAAAGAAGACATTCTTTATACAGGGCTTACTTTTCTGTGAGACAGTAGGCACTATGGACTCAGTAAATAATATGTATGCAAGGAAAGATTGCTTTCCTTGCATACTTCTCGATCTTTCTCTGCCCTTGGTGCTTCAAGAATCTTCTCAGAGAAGCAATCAAGAATGACAAGTGAGAAAGAGATTATGGACTAAGTTCGAACCGCAAAAATTCATTATTTGATTGTTTTGCGATTGCAGTTCGATGGAAAAATGTAGGTATTTGAGGAGATATATCCACTTGTTTGGGTTTTTCTCTGTGTTCCGTCATGAAATTTTGTTAGCAAACCTCAAATTCGAATTCAGCATCCCAAAAAACATAATAAACAGAAGAAAGTAAAACTACCCTAAAACTTTCCTCCAAAAGGCCTTTTTGAGTACAATTTGTTTGACTAGACTATATGGCCACTACAATAAAATTCAATTATTGGTTTGATTTTTTTTGTCGCTACTTCTACTACGTCTTTAAATCCGCAAATTATCGCTCGCAAGCGTGACCGTACCTTAAATCTCTTAGACATAGGTGCTTTTTATAAGTAAAAATCAAATTGCACGCTAAATATATGTTTTCTTTTCATCTTAGGATGGCTCTGCACCCTAAGGACCCTTAAGGACTGTTTGAGCCCATCATTTTGCACCATGCCCTTTCACCGAACCCTTCACCATTATTCCTGCTTTTGGCGGTAGTTCCATTTACACCTCTAGTATCGCGTTATGCTGCTGTGAACACACTCGTTCTTGGTACCTGGAACATCGACTGAGTACTCTTAGTTTTTTGTAGTTTTATTTTTTGTTATACTTGCTATTTGTCATGATTGTGCACTATAAGTTCAAAAAATAAATATGTATTAAACTGTGGTGTATTTTATTTTTACCATTTTATTATAATAAAATTTAATTTTTTTAGAGATTTTAAGAATTATTCAGTACAATAAAAATATTAATATTAAAACCAAAATTTCAACTAAATTTGTCATATCTTGTAAAGACTTCTGGGATTTTCGCCACTAGAAGAAAATCTACAAAAATAGAAGAAATGAACCCGCCAGGTATAGCCGATTAGTCAATTTTCTTTTGCGCTGTATTTTATTATTTCGCAATCATTTTATATACTTGATTATTCTAAAAAAAATTAATATGTGCCTGCCTTTCAGCGGAAATGAAAATGTACTTGCTCAATAAGCAAGGCATTTTAACATACAATTTATAACAAACACACACAATTTTTTTTATAAATTGTGTGTATTTATAACAAAATGAATAGGTGCTTAAATAGAAACCAAATAAAATAAACTGACTTGGTTTTAGATGAGATCTCACAACTTTTTATAGTGGAAGAATTGTGTTGTGAGACTTGGCATTTTTTACATTCATATCATATATGTTTTTGATGGGATCTCATTTCTTTTTGTAGGTTATACTCCTATTTTTTTTCTAGGGTAATATATCATTTAAAATAACATTGAAGAAGTTTGATTAGGTTAGGTTAAGTTAGATTAATAATTCAAAGTATTAAATCTAGTTTATTTAAAATGTAAATTGTAAATTATAGTTAATGAAAAATTCTAGTAGAAAAACGACTTGTGTTTCCAACTTTCGTTATAACCCAAATTTCAAGTTTAAAAATGTTTAATTTATTATTTTAACAATGCTTATTCAAAATTATGTTTTTTTTATATAAATATTTTAGAAAAGTTATGAAATATGAGAGTAGTTTCCAAAAATGTAATAATATACTGGGTGTTTCATTTAAAATAACAAAGAAGCTACCACTTTTTAAATGATCCGGCAACACTGTAATGCTGATTAATATTTTTGATTTAGATTTTTAGATAGATGGGGTAGGTGCCTTTATATAAAAATCAAAATTTTCCAAACAATCCTATCACCGCCACTGGTCCTCCTATTACCATCGCCGGAAAGTCGGTTACCGGTAGCGGCTTGACAGCTAACTTTTGATCCATAAGGATATTTCGGGATTTTTCGTTTTTTTTTTCTTCCATTATAAGCTTAATGCTAGAATGTAGAATGAAACTTATTTAATTATGAGCTTAATGCTAATAGTCCAGTCATCTTTGTCGAAATAGGGTAGGAATCTCGGAATTCAAGATAACCAGCTGTAAACTCATATAAACCTTTATTTTAACATCCTAAAACATGTCTCAAAACCTACATATGATAGCAAGTGCGCGACTTGTAGATAACTCAGATCAAAGGTCAAAAAATCGATTTTTTGCACATTTTTTGCAAATATCTCGTTCCCTTTCACATTTACGCTATTTGTATTTATCATAAATATTGTAGAGGATAAAATTCTCTACAACTTTTTTTGAACGAAATTTTTTTGTTGTACCTCAAACCGTTTTTGAGATAGAGGGCGGTGAGCGCGCAGTCTTTCATTAATGTACTGTATCATTCAAGTTCAACCTGTAGTCTCGGTAAAAAACACGCCGTATAAAGTCCGTTAATTATTGAAAAATATATAATTATAAATAATTTACATTTTTTCATAAAAGATCATATTCAATATAATAATTTTTTTCATGAATTAAGTATATCTTCATTTAATAACACTTACCTCTTTGTACAATTAGAAAATTATTAACAAAAATACTTTAATTATTACATTTTAATTATAGTTAGATCTATACTAATTACATTTTAAGTAAATAAAAAGACAAGAAATACATTTTTAATTTATATGTCTATTAAAAAATACGATTTCATACATTTCTCATGGTTGAAATGAAAAAAATTGAATAAAAATAAAAAGAACTCCATGTTCTTATTTTTAGTTTTCTTCTTCTTCATCATCGTCATCTGGTCGTTGTGGAATTTCAAATTCTTCTTCATTTTCATCTTCAACGACATTTTTCTCCAAGTCTTCTAGGATTTCATGGTCAAATGTACCATCTTCATTGACATCACTCTGATAGGGTGAAGCATTGAGACAAGCTTGCCCATTACACTGGCCACAAGCTAAAGAGCACGGCAACCCTGATTTCCTGCATCCACATCGCGAACCACAACCATTCTTGCAGTTGCAGAATATTGTGTTCAGCAAATTTTCTGGAGCTGGAGGTAGAATAGTAGTGGTAGGTTCCAGGAATCCATTACGCATTATCCAACCACCTAACCAGAGTAAGTAAACCGACGAGTAGCGACAGTCCCGTTTTTAATTTTCTTTGCGGCTGCGCGAAATAAGTAGTCTATCTGTCATATGAAGAAGCGAAGCTGTCACTGTTGCCATTTATCAAATATCTCTATATACTTTATTTCAAGTATGCCTCAGGCAACGAATCATTTTTTAAATTATTTATTAGCTGTAAGATATTTTATATATTCAAATTTAGAAATCAGGATAAAATAAAACAAAAAAATGTATAAAACTTTATAATTAATTCCACTTCAAATTATGAGCAGTGTATACCATGTTTATAGGACCACTTCATAAGTTGAGCAGTTAAATACGTAGTCTATCTGTCAAACACGTCAAAGGAGAGGGAAAGAAAATTTGGTCCCACTACATCAAAAGAGCCGACGGTTTCTGGCGCTGCTCTACTTACTCTGCCCTAACCAAGTCTGAACTTGGTAGTAAACACGATTGAAATGTTGGTGAGCTGCTGCACTTGTTGGTGGAAGATTTGCTAATTGTACTTCATTATTTTCTACTTAAAATGTAATTAGTATAAATCTGATTATAATTAAAATATAATTAAAGTATTTCTGTTAATAATTTTCTAATTGTACAACGAGGTAAGTGTTATTAAATGAAGATATACTTAATTTATGAAAAAAATTATTATATTCAATATGATCTTTTATGAAAAAATGTAAATTATTTATAATTATATATTTTTCAATAATTATTAACGGACTTTATACGGCGTGTTTTTAACCAAAACTACAGGTTGAACTTGAATGATACCGTACATAATGAAAGACTGCGCGCTCACCGCTCTCTATTTCAAAAACGGTTTGAGGTACAACAAAAAAATTTTTGAAACAAAAGTTGTAGAGAATTTTATCCTCTACAATATTTATAATTAATACAAATAGCGTAAATATGAAAGGGAACGAGATATTTGCAAAAAATGCACAAAAAAATCGATTTTTTGACCTTTGACCTCAGTTATCTATAAGTCGCGCACACGCTATCATATGTACGTTTTGAGACATATTTTAGGATGTTAAAATAAAGGTTTATACGAGTTTACAGCCGGTTATCTCGAATTCCGAGGTGAAACCCCTAAGATGACTGGACTATAACTAAAATTCCAAATTTGAAGTTTGTAACACTTCCAGAAGTACCGTAGTAGTAATGCCAGTAGAATTTTGATGACGGTGAGTGAGTCCCTGGCGAAGTTAAAGAAGTTTCACTAGAAAGAAATCATAATCCTCGAATTATTGTTGGTACATTCATATACAAATAAAATCAGAAGAGACCGCCTAATTCCAGTTTTCTATCTTTTTCTTCACTATAAGACAACTAACTTTTAATCCATAAGGATATTTCGAGATTTTCCGTTTTTTCCTTTGTTTATAAGCTACCGGTAGCGGCTGTATAGCTAACTTTTAATCCATAAGGATATTTCCATATTTTTCGTTTTTTCTTTCCATTATAAGCTTAATGCTACCTAAAATTCAAAATTTGAAGTTTGTAACGCTTCTAGAAGTACTTTAGAAATTTGATGATCTGTCAGTGAGTCAATGTCGAAATTAGAGAAATTTGACAAGCGATAGAATTATCTGATGAACTATGATTTATAATTACTAGACAGCCAGATATAGTATGTCCTCATATGTAGTAAAAATTAATAGTCTTGCTTTATCCAAAACAAAGTTACAGGGTGGTCAAAAGTGCCGCTAATACTTTCGCGAAAAGGATGGTACGGCTGTGCTCGACTTGGCCTAACCTAACCTAACAGATACACGCTCATATTTTAGGCATACAGTTCTTTGAAACATTTTATTAGTTATTTTAGAATATCAATTATTATTTTATAATACTTAGGAAATATTTGTGGATTATTGTAAATGTATGTAACTCACACTAGCTTATCAATAACTATATTTATTTTACTGCATATGTAAATTTGAAAATAAATTTTAGTTGCCGACACTGTAAAAACAGGGGTCTATAAAAGTGTCCGTTTAATTGCGTTACTTACTCCGAAATTAAAAGCGTAGTCCGTTTAATTGTATCAATATTTTAACGAGTGCAATTCAGCTGGATTTTTTAATTATCTTGGCTGTCTACAGCAACAGCATATTGCTATCACTTTTTTACGCTCAGAATACTATTTGCTGTAAGCACCCATACGAAACCGTATATTTCCCAGTGCCACATCGGCCATTTCAAGCGGACGGACGGGACAAAGTGGAATGATATAAATATTTTAGAAAATGTTACTCAGACACCAGTTTTGTTATTATAACTATTTGAGAAGAAATGGATAATAAGTTTAGCGTACTACTAAAAAAACCTTTAATGATAGTCAAATTAAAGACGAACTTGAAAGGAAGCTCATGAAAATTCTTGGACGGACGGGACATCAAAATCCAATTGATTTTTAGCCGACCATACCAATAGGTATGGTAGGCTATTAGAGGATCGGCAAAAAAAAAGTTTTTTTAATTTCACTCAAAATGAGTTATTTGGGTCATAAATGACCTAAATACAAAATATTTTCGTGGTGTCTGTCTGTCTGTCTGTCTGCCGTCTGTAACACGATAACTCAAAAACCGCTGAACCGATTTTAACCAAATTTGGCACAAAAATACTGTGGCACCCGAGAATCTGGCCATTAGTTTTTGGTGGGCGTGGGGGGTTGGTAAGGGGGTTAAAAATTTTAAAA